TGCTAAAACAAATTACAGAAGGATACAAAATAGAAATATTTGAAGTTGATACAAGTGATTATAAAAAAAATCCTTGGGACTATGTCAAAAAACTAGTAAATGATCAAGTTATCGATGTTGGCATTTGTTCTATGTTTATGAACGTAAACGATTTGAGCTTTTTAGAAGGAACAAAGCCTTATACTGAAATTTGTTTAACATTTCTTGTTCCTAGACCTCAATTAATGGATTTTTCAGTATATCTGTACTTGCCTTTAAAAGTGCACGTGTGGATGTGCTACATATTTTCAATAATATTTGCTATTTTGGCAATATTTTATGTCTCAGATGCCGCAAATAGGTAAGAAAATAGAAAGAAAATTATATAAGTAAGATAACGATTTTTTTGCTGAGCCCTTTAAGCTGTTGTGATTTAACTAACTAACAAGAAAAAATTATTGTAATAAGTAGACAAGTGTTAGTAATTGGTTTTGAGGCACCACTGCTTTCTTTCTTCTTTCTAAAGATTTGTAAATTTATTAAAAGTTTCGTGCAGTACATTTTCAACTTTAGTATTTTTCAAAATGTTCAGTATTTTTTTCAATTGTATGTTACATAAAATATAGCAGTGTCATCTGTCTATAGAAAGGCTGTCGAAACACGAGCGAAATGGTTGGTGTCTTTTATAAAGAAACATAAAGTAGACAGTATACAAGTAGACCATTGATTTATTAAAATGAAATATTTCTTACAGACCTTGAAATTTTTAACATTTCAATTAAATGTGTATAAATAATTGAAACTGTGCAACTTGAAAATATTCTGTGATAACAATTTGATGCAAAAATTCTACTTTATTGATACTTTTAGCTTAATTGTCTTAATTTTAATACAAATTATTTAGGTTAATTGATTTTTTACCATTGATTTGTTTACATTACATTTTTCTCACACTTTTATCTTATTTTATATAGTGTAAAATTTTATCATTTCAAAGAAACGTGTTTAAATAATTGAAACATGCAATTTATGTATTGATACAATTTATTTGTTTTACGATTTGAACATTTTTACCATTGGTTTATTTAAATGAAGCTTTTCTTATATCTTTAGTTATTTGCTGGTTGTGAAGCATTTTAATCAAATGTGTAAATATAATAATTCAAAAATGCAATTTATAAATAAATTCGTGCATCCTGTTGCCTAATGGTTAGAGCTATGGGCTTTGAATCAAAGGTTCTTCTTTTGTAGAAGTTGAAAATATAAATAGCCGTTTGGGTTGCCTTCTGTGAAAAGCCACGAAATTTAAGTAGTCAGAGATTCTGTTCTTTCGATGCAAATAGCTTAATTGTTTCAATCACGAACTAATTTCGTTAATCGAATTTTTTACAGTTATAGTAAGTTACAAAATGAAGATACCAGACCTGTGAAACTAAGCAAATTTTCGTTTTGTGTCTTAAGCGTAATATCCATTGCTACCTCTCAGGGAACAAATATTCCGGCAAAATGTGGTTCCGTAAGGCTCGTTTTAATCAGTTGGATTTTACTATGTTTTTTATGTATGTAGTCATAATTACATTGATTTAACCAGTTAACTATGATTGACGAGTATACTGAAAGAGTAGCAAAAACTTGTGCATTGACGAGTATACTCGTCATGCGTATAAATCACCTTTGTCTATTTAACTTGCAATTTTTGGGAAAACTAAAGTATATTCTCAAATTTCAATATTCTTGAATTGAATATTTATTGGTATGAAATATGTAGTTGTGTCATTTTACCTAAAGGCAAGTTGCATAAACTTTCCAATATGTGTAAATAATCGACTCAATATAGGAATTCAGTTTTTGCTATTTGGATAAAGATTTCAACTGTTCATTTTGAAAATGAAGTTTCGCTAAAAACGAATCAATGCAATTTCCAATTGTTATCTTTTAAACAGATTGTATTTAATTAGAATTAATGTATGTAAATGTATTTTTTCACATTAGCATACTTTATTCTACCTTGTGTTCAAAAAATTAATTTTATTTGAGAGGATTCGTCAACATTGATCAGTACAAAAACATAGAATGGATTGACATTTGCTTTAAAATTGAACTACTTTTTGTAGAACTATAATATTTTACAATGTTCGTATCACTCCACAACAAAAGTTTGAATTATTTTACTTTTACATGTATACTCTGTGATTGACGAATATACACGTCATTTTCGATTCTGACGACGTAAAACAATGCGTACGTTTAAATGAGTGCTCGACAGTTAACTGGTTAAAATTCTTATATTTTAAAAAATATTTATCTCATTAAATATTTTTGCATTGCAGTCACCTAAACTTAGCTTGTTTGAACATAATTAACACATGAACACACTCGTCGATGACGAGTATAAACACTTGTTGTAAACTAATATGTCGATTATTAAATTACGAAAGTACATCTTTCAGACACTTACATGATTAACAGTAATTATTGAAATATATTTTTGATATTAATTCATTATTTTATGATGTTATCAGTATCGGTGGTGTATTCAACCGGCTATGCATCATTTCTGACCAGCCCCAGATATACGAACGAAATACGAACTATCAACGATGTGGTCGAAGCAGGTTAATTAAATATTTATAAACAGTACATTAATTTTTGGACTAAATTAATTTGATTATGACTAAATAAATATATATTTATAGTTGATTTTGATCAGGCGTAGAACCAATTATAAAACTTAGTAATTAAAATTGTCAATGCGTTTCGGTCCACATCAAGACCATCTACATCTTGATGATTTAATTTGCTTGATCTTGATGATTAATTACCAAATGTTTAAATGTAGGTGTGCCTCATCAAAATCATATATATATATATATATATATATATCTCAATGATAGAACGTTATATTAATAAAAATTATATGATTTTTATTCATACCCATCATTATTGGTTAACATCCTAGCCGTCATTAAGGGGGTATTCTAGTGTAGAAATTCAAAAAAATCAATTTCTGAATATGGGTACTGGAAGGTTTTTGAAAATTTGAATTATTTTCGGAGATATAGGCACTTTACTGACTCGGTCTCTATACTGGTTTGGTTTCACGCAAAACTTTAAATGCGTTTATCTCAGAACAGAATTTTTCAGTACTGTTGACACGATTTCTCAAGTTTTAATCGACGGATTCACTTGAATGTGCAGAGAGTCTTGTTTATAGACCTATCTATAGCACACACTAGGATTATTTCCAAATTACAATTTTTACTATTTTTAAAAAATTCGGGAAACTAAACAAACAAAATAACACTTTTTTTTCAAACAGTCCCCAATTTGTACAAAAAATTTTTTTTACTCATCGCTAGTTCGGGCGATTGCGACATCATTGTAGATTAATAATCTTTTTGTTTTTTGCATTTCCGATGGCTAGGAGGGCTGAAATCATGTCAAGACTGAGGTGCCAATTTTTTGACACCACTCACTTCAGCAGCTGCCAGTTTTTACAATTTTCAACTTTTTTATTTTTTAATTTTTGTTTTGTATTTGAATAATATTGATAAACAAGTGGTAAAAAAATGGATAGTAAAATCATTCATTGCTTTGTTTTACGACACTTTAAAAATGACCTAAAATTCATCGCTCTACACTAGAATACCCCCTTAAATTATTATCTGGTATTATATTACCAAATATTTTTAACTTTTATTTAACTCTGGTTACTAGATGTGGCTGATATATAGATTACATAATTTGTTCTGTATATTTAAAATCTCCTTTTGAGCAAAATTAAACAGTTAGTGATCCTAGTGATGTACTGGGCAACTTCTCATTTTTACTCCATATTATAAGTCAAACAATTTTTAATCTATTTCGCGTTTCGAGTATCTGTTTTTTTAAGTAAGCAAAATATATCAACAGCTCCTAAAAATGTATAAAAAAAATTATTCGTCCTAAATACGTCAAATAATCTTTTAAATTCCTTATTAGGTTTAAAATGGGGTTCAAAATATGAGCAAAGGACACATTTACATCAAATGTTGACCTCTTCCGGAATACCGCATCTGGAAATTTTAGCAAATCGCTTTCAAAGCTATCACGATGATGAATATCGCTTAAAACTCATAAATGATGGCAACTACGCAATTTTAGTCAAAGCCTTAGACAGAACTTATACCACGAATTCCGAAAATTTAGGGACAGTATCAAAACGTCTCGTCTGCCTTCAGGAATGTTTGACCAGATATTACCTCATGATTGCATTGCAAGTAAATTCACCATATAAACAACTATTCGACAAGAAAATATCTCAGCTGGTGGAATCAGGAATAATAGATCACTGGTTGCAGGCGGTGATTGTAAGTCAAGGAGAAAATTATATATCAGATTTTTTTCAAAGAAGGCCATTTAAGTCTCATAGACCGCAACCTTTATCTTTAAAGCATATGGCTGGAGCGTTTCATTTTTTGGTTTTGGGGAATTCATTTGCTGTTATTGCATTTGTGGCAGAGAAGTTATTAAAATATATATAAAATAAGACAACGATCAATGTAAATGTTATTTAAGATTAATAATTTATTTCTATTTAATACTGACTTTTAATTGCACTGTAAGTTTAAAACGTGTTTTTTTTTCATTTTAAACCAATTTATTTCTATGTGTTACACACTAAAATAGAAGAAAATTTTCAGTAGGAATAATTTTAGGTAACTGTTATATTATACAGAAGTAATTATAATTTTCTGGATCAAGTCAATCAATCTGTTTCAAATTTTATATGCACTCAATTCAGTATATTAAATGGGTGAATCATTTATGTTTTATTATTGATTATAATTGATTTTGTTTTAAGGAGATATGTTACAGCTATATTAAATAAATAAATAATGTTATTTTCATTTTTTGCATACCAAATGCTTCCAGTTTAAATGCCCCACTCTGTGTTATTGATATTAAAAATTTCCAGTACCCCCCTGTCACATGGTATACATATAAATATTTTTATACTAAATATGAAACATATCAGATTATGAAGTACTTTCAACCAAGAAAGACGTAATTTTAAAATTTAGAGAATGTAATTTTAAAATTTTAGTTCCGTTAAAATAAGTGATAAACATTTCATAACTATATATAATGCAATAGTGACACAATGTTCTATAATTAAGTAAGTGATCACTTGTTTTATTTTAAAATATTAAGGACATGTATTATTAAATTGTATAATATATAATAGAACTGATAAGTAAGTACATACATATATATTTGTGTAGATGTTCATAACTAAATTAAGAGTAAGTGGCATTTTAATTTAGGCAATTGGCATAAACGATTCGAAATGATGTGTAAATGATCCACTAAATTTAGATAAAATTTTCAGCTATTTATTTCGAAAATAATGTTTTTAGATGCACTGAAAGCTAATCAATGCATATTTCAATTGATATCTTTCAAACAGATTTATATGAAATTATATTAATTATCGTGCATAAACTCTCACATGTAAATTTTAATAAATTTTCATAATGCAACCACTTTATTTATTAGCACTATGAAATCTATAAGCCATGTTAAGTTTTATTAAAATCGTTAAAAAAATTAACGTTTAATTACAAAGAAACACTCAATCGTCTCGGCCAATCTTTGCCTAAAACTAATTATCACAAACCGCAACTGATACTTGTGGAATTTTATATATTCAAAATTGGTTCAGAATTTCTTGCGATCGCAAATTTATTCGTTTTTGAAATCGGTTCAGCCAATTTTGAGAAAAAGTCGATGAAATGTCAAAAATCGAAACACGTGCACACACATTTCGATTTTGATCTAAAACGATTCAGAAGGAATTGATACGTCGATATAACATGAGCAACAATTTTCTGGCAAAAACATACATATTTTTCTTTGAGAAGTTAATTATCTAAATGAATTAATCTAATCCCAGATTTATGCATTATTTAACTAAAGTATTATCCTGAAGTTTACATTATAGTTATTATCATGTGGTTGATAGAATAAATATCAATGCAACAGAAATAGTTTTTTTATTCGCTTTGATCAAATGATAAAATGTATTTTGTGACATATGTCTACTTCCTAATAAAAATATTTTTATAGATACGATTTACAAAAGACGCATCAAATTAATAGCATTCTAATTATATATTGCATTTGAAAAATAGAAAGTATTGAGTAAGCATATTATTGAGCTCGAATTTATATGTTTTAAAGAAATATAAAATGGCAAAATATTTGTTCATTAAATATTTTCTCTTTTGGTTCATTATAGTGCAATCAGAATCAATATTTCAGTATATGATTCCTCCAAAAAGTGATTGTTGGTTTATTACACATGATGGCCAGCATTTAAGCAACTTTGCTGTGGAGTCCCTGAACAGATTATACATTCCTTTAGTTTTAAATCAAATGTCAAATATTAAGGATACATATAAAAATATATGCAGAAATTTTATGTTTATCTATAAGTCTATCGGACCCGTAAATTCGCTGTTCTCTAATGAGTCACAGTTAATAAAGGATATTGAATCAAAAAACATTTATAGTGATATATTAGTTATATGCGAGAATTGTAGAATGATTGAAATTGATTCGCACGTAAGAGATATTGCATATAAGCACTTATTGAACGTAATAATAGTATTTATTAGAAACGATTATGATGTACAAAATGAAACTTTAAGTAACTATTTGTCGAATCGAACTGTATTTGAAATGTGGGGGCCTGCAGCCTTTCAACAACCTTATGTAATTACTTACAAAAGTATTGGGGGTTTTAAGCATTTGCTAAACCATTTGTTTGATACCCAGAGAAACTTTATTAAAACTCTAACAATATTTCGAATAAGCGTGTTTCATTGCCCTCCTCACATTATATTGGAAAATGATACTATCGATGGTGTTGAGTATCGAATAATTAATGAGATATTTAAAAGAATTAAAATACCTGTACAAATTTTGAAACATAAATCATCAGATGATCCATGGAAAAAAACTAAAAATGATGTGTTAACAGGAAAATCGGATATGGCAACGTGTTCAGTATGGCTTACTGAAGATACTTTTAATAAGTTTGAAATCACGTCTATACTTGGATCAGTATGTGTAACGATGTTGGTTCCAAAACCAGCCCCGATCAAAACAATAAGTTATTTATTTCTATCACTAGACATCACGGTATGGATTTGTTTTCTAGTGTCAATTTTCACAACGACTTTCTTCTTAAATCAATTGAATAGTTTCTACCAAAGGTAACACCTATATGTTTTTTTCTATTTATATAATTGATTTTTAATTATTGATTGTTTTCAGTAATATTAACGGTTTATCTGAAACAAGTTTATATTTTGAAGATATAACACAATGTTTTCTAACGATCTTGAACATCACAACTTTGCATGGATGTAATTATTTTCCTCGCAATATTTCTTTGAGGTGTTTACTGCTTGGTTGGATTTTATGTAGTATGATAGGTAAAATAAGTACAGATATATATTTTTATTAATTATACAGGCAACAATAAGATTATAAAGTACAGTCAACCCTTCAATAACGCGGTGAATTAGTACAAATCACATCATTTGTACTGGGGTAATAAACTCTAAAGACAGGATAAACTATATATATTGTTTTTATTGAAGTGAAGAGTTATTATAAGAATATAATAAAAAAAATAAACAAAAATCAAAATAAACCGTTTTCAAAAAAAAAATCAAGCTGATTTTTTTTAGAAAGAATAACGTGCTGTGATGGAGGATCTGACACTGAAATCGATGTAGTACACAGTTATGATTAGTTATAAACATACTTTAAATGATAAAATAGTCGATAATGGGAAAAGGAAACCGCGTTATAGCAGCGCTGTCGCAATTTTAGCTTCCAGAGTTTCGCGTTATAGAAGGGTTGACTGTATTCTATAAGTTATCGGTATACAACTTGATATAGATAACATATTAAGTGCGATTGACGAGTATACTCGTCATGAAAAAAAGGTAGAATTTTGTGAATTGACGAGTATGCACCTAAATCGTTGATCTTTGTCTATTTAATTTGCAATTTTTGAAAAAAAAAAAACAGTTAAATGGTTACTTATAATAGCTGTCTTTCCAAGAATGGGACAGTCTTTCAAGAGATGTTGTATAAATATACATATATAAAGCAAAGAATGTCATACTTGCGTAATTATGTTTACAGTGACTACAGCATACTTTACTGGATATTCATCATTTTTAACTCAACGTAAATATACAGAGCCAATCCGCACTCTCGAAGATATGACAAAAAGAGGTAAAATAATATGATGATATGGTTTTAATCTAATGGATCGAATCTGCCGCATAACAGACCAATGCTAAGGCAGGGCTATGTTATGAAGAAGTTTCCATACAAATTTGTTCTTAATATTGACAAAAGCCATGTGGTTGCTTTGCAGTCAGGCGTCAGATAGAAAACCAAACCTAGAAACCGCACAAATGCCGAAAAAACGATTTTAGATAACAGGGTCTTTCTGACCCAGCTTCATAACATACAAGTGACGTTGCAGTTTATGTGTAAAACGCCTGAATGCACAGCACATACACGACATTTTGACAGTATTCAGTATAATTCAGTTGCATAATGTATGCAAGTTGAAGCGTAACATGGCCTTGCCATAACATTGGTCTGTTGTGCGGTAGAATCGGTCCATGAATTTAGGTAACTCATGAAACGTCGTTTTATTAACAGATGATATTTATTGGGGAGAACATTACAAGAAATTACCTTTCTATTTGGAACTGGAAGCTTCACCTCACAAATATCTGAGGGATTTTTTGAAACGAAATAAACCAGAGAAAAGTTTTGAGCAACGACTACAGCGAATTCGCGAGGGCCACTACGCAATATTTTGCCAAGTGCAAGGTAACAGATATGTAATGGATGTCGAAAATGTAGAAGAAATATCTTCATACGTACAAATTGTAGAGGATTGTATCTCCAAATATTTTACTTCTTTTGCATTAAGCAAACGATCAAGATTTACCCAATTGTTGAACAAATACATAAGTCGTCTTGTTCAATCAGGAATTGTAAAACATTGGTTAAATGACATTATACGTAAATTAAATCGTACCTACATGTACAGGTATTTTAATTCACACAATGAACACGTTGATCCAACACCTTTGACTATGTTTAGCTTGTCAGCGATGTTTTTTATATTAGTGGTGGGGTGGGTAATTGCTTCAATAGTATTTTTGATTGAAGTTTTACAAAGTCGTTACGATTTTGTATGTATATGATTTCGAAACATTTAAATTGTTATCTTCAAGGCACTTTTGTAGAATATCTTCTAGACTGACAAATTGTCTTTTTTCGAAATGTTTGTTAGATGTTTAAACTGTGACATGCTGATTTATATGGATTATAGTGGAAGTTTGTGTTTTTAGCAGTTTTAGAATTTTTTTGAAATTAGTATTTTATTATGTATTTATTGATTATAATAGATATAAATGAGTATAAAATGAATTTTTATGTAATTTTAATTTGTTAATTTTTATTTTACCGATCCTGGAATACTGATTTCTGAGGTTTTCTCGAATTTTTCCTCAAAGTGATCTGTAGCTCAAAAAACAATAATTGATTTTATTGATTTTATTATAAATATGAGATTGTTGATTTGAATAGACCTCGATAATTCTATTTTTTTCGAAATTTATTTTACTGAGTTTTGAAAACTCTAATGATACGTTTTTCTCGAGTTTTCCGTGAACAATGATATATAGTTAAAAATATTGTTTAAAACAAATATTGACTTTATTGACAAATATCGAGAAATTATGAGATTTTTGATTTTTGTAGACATCAATGACCATAAAATGAATCTATATATGATTCTAATTTTTTATTTTATTGATTTTTGAAAATGATCTTTATGAGTTTTTCTCGATTTTCTGCTAAACGATGAT